GATGGGACAGGTCAGTCTGTTAACGAGTTAACTAGTCTGTAAGCACGTTAACTGCTTCTGGGTGAGACAGGTCAACCTGTTAACTAGTTAACTAACCATTAGTAGGTGGTTAATAGCTGGGTTGGGCCCTGACTCTGTGTCCTCATTTGAAACAGGAAGTTGTCCAGAGTCAGGTGTTGGAGGCCAAGGTGTTCCACTCTCCCTATGGCACAGGTATCGCCATCGTAACAGGCTCCTCCCGCTTCACCTTGGCAACCAACATTGATGACCTGAAGCTCCGCAGATTACCTGAGGTCCCAGGTAACACCAACTGCACCTGTCATGGTGTCTCTCTCTCTCTCAATGATAGTAGTGTTCTCTGCTCTGTACCAGAGGGACAGGTGCTGTTGTGTGAATGATCTGACGTAGTGTCCCTTTGTCTCCTTGTCTTAGTAGTGACGAATAAAGGTTGGTGTTAAAATCAAAATCTGTCTCTCTCTCTACTGTGTCTCTCTCACCTCTCTCTCTCTCTCTCTCTCTCTCTCTCTCTCTCTCTCTCTCTCTCTCTTTCTCTCTCTCTCACACCTGTCTCTCTCACCTGTCTCTCTCTCTCAGGTCTTCAGGGGAAGCCCTCCTGCTGGGTCGTCCTGACTCAGGACAGACAGACTAAAGTCCTGCTGTCCAACGGACCGGACCTCTACATCCTGGACAACACGTCCTGCACTGCTGTGGTGAGACAGCTGGAGACAGACAGGTGACAGGTGAGGTACGTTTGGCCACCTGTCTGACCACCTGTCTGTCTGTCTGTCCTCAGGTTCCTCCAGGTCTCAGTCCTCAGGCTGGCAGCGTGGTCCACATGTCTGTGTCGTTCAGCTACAAATACCTGGCCATCTTCACTGACTCGGGACACCTGTGGACAGGTACCTCCAACCTCCAGGTGAGCAGCTGCTGTGTCCAATCAGCCTTCAGATGTCTTAGCTGAGGGGGCGGGGCTTGGGTTCTCTGATGACAGGTGGCTCCTCTGTCTGCAGGAGAAACTGAGTGAAGTCGACACCAAAAAGATGACAACGCCCAAACAGATGGTCTGGTACGCTTACCTGTCCGTCTACCTGCTGGTCTACCTGTCTGTCGACCTGTTGGTCTACCTGTCTACCTGTCTGTCTATCTGTTTACCCGTTTGCCTGTCTGTCTATCTGTTTACCTGTCTGTTTACCTGTCTGTCTACCTGTTTACCTGTCTGTTTACCTGTATGCCTGCCTGTTTACTCGTCTCACCTTCTTTACCTGCTCAGGTGTCGCAGACCAAAGAGTCAGCAGCCGTCTGTGGTGCTGATGTGGGACAGACTGCTCCTGGTGGCCGGAGTTTGTAATGACACCATCCAGTATCCTTTGAACCAGTTCAGACTGGAACCACAGACCTTTCAGAGCGTGTTTGGGTTCTTCCAGAATCTGTGGTGTTCTCAGGGTTTGCTTGGAGCCTGTTAGGGTTCTCTGGGAGTCTCTTGTCCTGGATTTTTTTAGGGTTCTCCTGGAGCTCCTTAGTCTTCTCTTGGCTCCTGTTAGTGCTTCCTGGACATCTTTAGGTTGCTTTGGAGCCTCTGAAGGTTCTCCAGGATCGCATCATGGTTCTCTTGGTGCCTGTTAAGGTTCTTCTGGAACCCTCAAAGGGGTCTCCTGGAGTCTGTCAGAGTTCTCTTGGATCCTGTTAAGGTTCTCTTGCAGTTTGTTGGGGTTCTCCTGGGTTAGACTTCAGGGACCTGTGAAGGCGGCTCTCGGTGAAGAGTCTTGCTCAGCTGTGAATCTCTTCAGTGGTTCTCTGGTCAGGTAATGTTGGACCCTTGACCCTGACCTCAGGTTCCCCATGGAGGATCCGTGTGTTTTGGTGGGAGAACTGGACGGAGTTCGGGTCATCAGCTCAACCAATCAGGAGCTGCTGCAGGAGGTCCCACTGGTCTGCCAGGACATCTTCAAGATCGCATCCATGGCACCTGGAGCTCTGCTGCTGGAGGCCCACCGGGAGTACGAGGTACACCTGTCTGTCTGTCTGAACATCTGTCTGTCTGTCTGTCTGTCTGTCTGTCTGTCTGTCTGAACATCTGTCTGTCTGTCTGAACATCTGTCTGTCTGTCTGTCTGAACATCTGTCTGAACATCTGTCTGTCTGTCTGAACATCTGTCTGTCTGTCTNAGGAGTCCAGGTAAGAGGTGGAAACAGGAAGAGACGCTGATGTGCAGGAAGTTCCACCAGAACAATACAGCAGCTGTGTGAGCATCCGTTCTGGTTCTGTGGAACGTCAGGAACTGAATCTGAGGCGTTTAGAACCTGGTAGTTCTGTTCTCTCTGTGACTGGATCAGAACATTCAGGAGGAATCACGGCCTGAACATAAAAACGTACTTTTTCCGTCACGGTTCTCAGGAGACGAGGTTCGGTGTGAACGAACCTTTAAAACTAACCGTGGGTCGGTGCGACCACCAGGAGGCGCCCGTGTGCTGCTCTATGGAGCCACGAAGAAGAAGAAGCAGCAGCAGCAGAAGAAGAAGAAGAAGAAGAAGCAGCAGCAGAAGAAGAAGAAGAAGAAGAAGAAGCAGCAGCGATCAGCTGACTGGAAGCTAAAGCTAAGCTAGCGTCGTCTCTGAACCGGAGACATCATGGCGTTCATCACGGCCAACTGGAACCCGCTGGGAGAAGCTTTTTATCGGTCAGTTCTGTTTCGGTGTGCCGGTCCACCAGCAGCTAGCAGCTAGCTGTAGCGCACATGCTAAGCTACCAGTTAATTCAGCTGTCAGCTGGTCATGTGACTCCGCTAACGTTAGCTCCGGCTAGCTGCAGGTCCAACAGCTGAGCTCTGTGTTGTTGTTGTTGTTGTTGTGTGTCTGTGCAGGAAGACGGAGCTGTACGAGATGAGCTGGAGCCTCAGGGACGGGCTCAGAGACAGTCTGGTGGCCGCTGCTCCGTACGGAGGGCCGATAGGTAGCCGCACCTCAACACCACAACACCTCAGCATCACAACACCTCAGCATCACAACATCACAACACCTCAGCATCACAACACCTCAACATCACAACATCACAACACCTCANCTGTACCTGTACCTGTAGCTGTACCTGTAGCTGTACCTGTACCTGTACCTGTACCTGTACCTGAACCTGTAGCTGTCTCACCCTCAGGTGGACATTTCTAACGGGATGGACTGGTCTCTGGATCAGAAGACTTTTTTCTACATCGACAGTTTGTCTCTGACGGTCGACGCCTTCGACTGCGACTTGAGCACCGGACAGTTTGGTAACGGCGTACTTTTACCGCAGAGCATGTGTACTTGTACTGCAGAATGCGTGTACTGATGTGGTACTTGTACTGTTTTCTGTGTGTTGTGTGTGCGTTGCCTAGGTAACCGCCGTGTGGTGTACCGTATGGAGGAGGGGGAGGGGCTTCCTGATGGGATGACGATGGACGCTGAAGGTCGTCTGTGGGTCGCCTGCTACGACGGAGGACGGGTCATCAACATCGACCCTGCTACTGGTTAGTCATACTGGTTACACTGGTTGTACTGGTTATAGATCTTGTACTGGTTACACTGGGTATTGTACTTGTAGTGGTTACATGGGTTGTAGCCGTCTTACTGGTTTTACTGGTTGCACTGGATATACCCGTTCTACTGGTGATGTTCTTCAGATCATGACGATGGACTGGTTTTGGTAGTCACAGCTCTGTAAAGACCAACTNCTCTCACCTGTCTGTCTCTCAGGTTGGTGTATCGACAGTTTTATCCGTTAGCGATTGAAATCTGTCGTTACCTGAAGATTCCTGATTACCAGGGAGTCAGCAGAGTCCTCAAACACTGGGCATCATGCAAGGTAACCTGCCTCACCACCTGTCTCAGCCCTGCCTCACTGGCCTCACCTGTCTGTTGTCATGTGAATGGCTCACCTGTGTGCTGTGGGCGTGTCCAGGTGCAGCAGAAGGACCTATCAGACGAGGCCATCGCCCGGGCGGTGTGTGTGAAAGTGGGAGACTCACCTGGCGTCTCGTACTCAGACATCGCAGCGAAAGCGTACGAATGTGGACGCACTGAGCTCGCCATCAAGGTACAGACATGACTTCCTCCAGGTATGTTCAGTGACATCACAGCTGTGGAGGTCATGTGACGACGCTGCGACTCTGTCTCTCAGCTGCTGGACTTCGAGGCTCGGTCCGGAGAGCAGGTTCCTCTGCTGCTCAAGATGAAGAGGAGTCAGCTGGCTCTGAGCAAGGCTGTGGAGAGCGGAGACACCGACCTGGGTGAGTGTGAGCCCCGCCCACTACCTGTCCACCAGGTGCGTGATGTGTCACTGATGGCTGTGCTGTGTGTGTTGTCAGTGTACACGGTGGTGAGCTACCTGAAGAACGAGATGAACAGAGGAGACTTCTTCATGACTCTGAGGAACCAGCCGGTCGCTCTGAGTCTCTACAGACAGGTACGCTCACCTTCATCATGGCTCCTCCTCCTCTGCACACAGGTACGCTCACCTGAGGAGGAGGTCCTGATGTCAGGGTGGTGAAAAGGAGGTGAGACGTGATGTGTTTTAGCTCCTGATGTGGTGATAAATGGTGGAAACATGCAGAGTTTCATTTTACATCAGAGCAGAATGCTCATGTACCTGGATTGCTCCCCCGTGAATAAATAAACAACACGTTGTTTGTTTATTTATTAGTTGTTTGTTGTCAGTTCTGTAAACTGCAGGAACAAGAAACTCTGAAGGATCTGTACAACCAGGACGACGACCACCAGGAGCTCGCCAACTACTACGTTACTGCCAGCTACAAAGAGAAGGTAACACCTGACCCACAACCG